GAATCAAGTTTGGTCAATTCTCAAAAAAAAAAGTGCCATATTGGAAATAATCCAAATGTCCACTGACAACTTAACAGTGGTATATTCATACTCAGTGATAAAAAGAAATGAAGTCCTGACACATGCTTCAGCATGAACGATAACTTCAAAATTGTTATGAGTGAAAGAAGCCAGAAAAAAGTAAATATTATGATTCTATTTATGTAAAATTTTAGAAAATGCAAATTAACCTATAGCGACAGGAAACAGATTAGTGGGTAACTTGGGGATGGGTGCCAGGAGGGGATGCATTACAAAGGGACAGGAGGAAACCTTAGGGACTATGGTTATGTTCATTATCTTGAGTGTAGTGGTATTTTCAGGGGTGTTGAAATTTATCAAATTATCTACTTTAAATATAAGCAGTTTATGGTCTGTCAATTAAAACTCATAAAAAATGACAGAACTAAATAAAAAGATTTAAAAAGGCACAAAAACCTGAAAAGACACTTAAAATCTGTAAGATGTACAGACTGCAAATAAGCACTAAAAGATGTCTGATATTAGCCACTAGGGAAATGAAGTTAAAATTATAACAAAATAACTTAAAAGAATAGCTAAAAATAAAGAAAAAAACGCTTAATAATCTAAGTGCTGGTGGAAATGTGGAGCAACTGGTGTTCTCATAGTGAGAATGCAAAATGGTACAAGTACTCTAGAACACAATGAGGCAGTTTCTTACAAAATTAAACTGCCCAGCAATCTTAACCTGAGATATTTATTCTAGAGAAATGAAAATTGACATGCAAACAAAGCCTCAACATGCTTGCTTATTAGCATTCTATTCAGAGTATCACTGCAAATAGGAAATAACACAAAAGATCACCCAAAGGTGAATGGAATACTCTTCATCAATAAAATAAAAAGGAACAAACTATTGATAAATTCAACAACATGGGTGCATCTCCAGAGAATTATGTGAGTAAAAGGTCAGATACTATACCAGTCTATTTATATGACATTCTGAAAAAGTTAAAACTCCACAGAATACAGATGAGTGGCTACCAAGGGTCTGGGGTTGGGGAGGGAGGGGTTTCTATATCTGGATTTGGTGGTGCTGGTATGGGCAGGCACTCTAAGTTCATTTCATTATAATCACAATCATAATCACAAATATTTATAATACTTATATAAAGAAATGATTGAATAAATAAATGCAGGATAGTAGACAAATCTCCCATGCAAAATTCCAAATAATTTATGATATTGCTTTACCCATAAATAGTAGAGCAGAACTCACACCATTGACCTGGGACCTTTACCCATAAAAAGTAGAGCAGAACTCACACCATTGACCTGGGACCTTTACCCATAAAAAGTAGAGCAGAACTCACACCATTGACCTGGGACCTTTACCCATAAAAAGTAGAGCAGAACTCACACCATTGACCTGGGAGCTGCACATGGTACTTCCTAACAGGACTGTCTGAAAAGGGGAAAAAAGTAACTTTGGAGTTCAGATACCTGACAACCATGACCTCAGTCAGATGATCAAAGTCAACACTGATGGCAATGGCATGTTGTAGCATGAACCACTGTGACACGATGTGATGAGATGGCATTTTATCTTGGGGGTCTTTGCTCCTAGCAACCCACAAACCCAGGCTAATGAGAAAGCAGGTGACAAATCCCAGCTAAAGGACTTTCTACAAAAGGCCTGATCAGTATTCCTCCAAACTGTCAAAGACATAACAAGAAAAGTCTAAAAAATGGCCAAAGACTAGAGGAACCCCAAGAGACAGAATGACTAAATATAACGTGGAGTCCTGCCTGAGATCCAGGAAGAGAAAAAGCACACACAGGTAAAAACTCTAGAAATCTGAATAAAGTCAAGAACCATGTATCACTATGGCTTGGTGCATGAACCTCTGTACCACATCACTGGAAGATGTAAAGTAATAGGACTCCAGCATGCTCTTGTGGACGTTAGCATTGGAAGGCTATTTTTCAAATAAGAGATATCATACAATATTTTTGTGCCATTAATCCTCAAGCTACAGTTAATGGTATTCGATTTACCAGTAATGAATTAGGAAAACCAGTTTCCTACTTAGATTTTCAGAACCAATTTTGAATGCTATGTAAAGTGATTTTAAAGAGATTTAATGCCAATTTTTTTTTAAAGTTTATTTATTTATTTATACAAGCACTGGGTACAGTGAGAAGCTCGGGAGGGTGGAGAATTCATCAGAGCCAGAGTGGGGAACAGAACAGGCAGATTGTCAAAATACCTTCTGAGGGGAGCAGCGGGCGCAGCAGGAGAGGTCTGTCATGCCATGTGGGACCCTCATCAAACTGGCACTACAGAGGCTGCAGGCAGCTTCACAGCCCAGCGCTCAACTGCTGCACCACCAGGGGAGGCCCTTAATGCCATTTTTTTTTTTAGGCTTGTTACAGTTTCTTTTTTTTTTTTTAATATTTTATTTTATATAATTCTTACATCATTTTTCATTTTTGCACAATGTATGCATTTTCATTTTGGCAATTTTTAAGTGCTTCTCCCATTAAAGAGTTCATCATCTACGCCTGCCCTCATATAAAAAGATTTAAATTAATCAATAGTACCCCCAATACAAGTCAGTCATTATCCCAGCTGAGCAAATTAGCTGACTTTCATCACCATCATTACCTCTAAAAGTAAAGCAGTATACTGGGGGGGGGGGTAATTGATCTAATAAGATCATTCTCCACCAGCCCTACCAACATGTTCTTTGAAGTAGCACAGCCATACTAGTGGGAAGGTGCTGAATCCCTATTTCCTTGACACCTCCCTGTTTCAATTTGGAACTGGAAAGATGCTCTAAACAGGTCTATCATGAGAGAGGCCTTGTTTTTTCACAGTCTTCCTCACCAAGACAGACCCCAACAAGGTCTGAAATCCCAGAATTGGCCCCTATATTTGTTCCCTGCATTCAGGCTGAGGGCCTCAATCAGAGACCTCATTTTCCTAGCCAGCCCCTCAAAGTCATACCACAGATGCAGTGGCCTGGCCAGGTCACTGGGAAAATTTCCCAGGGCCGCTGCTTCACCCCAGGAAATGGAGGTCTGACCAGCACTCCTCCTGTCTTTGAAATTCAGATCCAGGAGTCACCACAGTAGATCAGAAGTCAGCCTATGACATAAGACAACCCTTCTCCAAGTTGTCATTCTCTTGGTCTCTGAGGTCCCGGGGGGTCAACGTCCTGTCTATGCACCAGCTCGGTACCCAGAACAAGGGTTACAGCAGTCTAGTCAGTGTGACCCAGCTCCCTGAGAGGTGGTCCTGCCACGAGCAAGTCCAAGGATACAGTCCCCTCCCTATGAGGTCAGTCCTGTCCATCATGGCTACAAAAAATATCCAGATGGGACAAAGGAAGGGAACAACCTGCTAGGATAATAAGATCTCTATCCTGTTACCTGCAACTCACAGTCATTAAGACCGCAACACACTCCCTGGGCCAAGAAAAACACACCACACCTTTCTGTTCAGGGCCCTGAAGGTGCCAGAGCTCACAAGAGCCCTGGTAGCAGGGCTGGCTGTTAGAGGCATCAGAGCCCCTGCTGGCATTTCCTGGGGTAGGTCCAGCCTGGGAAGGACCTGGGTGGGTCTGCCCACCATGGGACCAGCCCTGCCTTTGTCCACAGCAGCCTCAGAGCTCAGGAGGAAGGTCTGCCCAGGGTAACTCAAACTTCACAAAGAAACTATTTCTAGAATGGGGCTTCGTTTGGCAATTCAGAGTCAAAGAAGCACTTCATAGCTCCTTTCCAAACCCTGTGCATTGTCAGGGCCCTTTCTCCTTTGAAGCCTCAGTGAGTGATTGAAGCGTCTCCTTTCTGAGGGGCAGATAGCACGGGGATGGTAATCTGACTCTAAGCCCCAGGATAAAGGTAGTTTGTTTCCTCTCAGCCCGTCTGTCAACACCTCCTCAGTAATTAGCCCTAATTATTACCAAGGGCCAGCCTCCCATTCGGTTATTAAATCAGAAATAGTATCGTGGCCGGGCATCTGTCAACGCCCAAATGGCAACCTTGGATTCATTGAATCCTCTGTCAGTATCCCTGGCTTCAAAGATGCAGATCCCAGGGAGGGGTTCTGGGGATGCAGCACAACCAGCTCTGCCTGAAAGGGGGGAGGTAAGAAAGATCATCAGCCCTGCATACCTTGGGAGCTGGGCACCATCCCTGAACTCACCTTCCCCTCTTTGGCAGCAAGTGCACACCCCAGTCACAGCCATTCCACATTCCCACCTCCAAGAGAGACTGATGAAACTGCATGGGGGGAGGGGGAAAGGTGATAAGACTTGTCCCTCCTCACCACAACCTCCAGAGGGTAAGAGGCAGGTCCCCGGCTTTCCTGCATCTGCTACAGCTATTTCCTAGGAGTGGCAGGTTCTAACCTAGGTCTCCACTGACCAAGCTAGGCTTGGTTGTTTTATAGGTACACAGGGCAAGCACCCAATCCTGGGCACCAGGAGCCACACTCTGAGCCTTATGGTCAGTCTGGGCACCCTTTCAGGTTGGGTATCTCCTTGTGAGCTGCGAAACCACAAATCTGAACTTGGGACTGCTGTGGACACAAGTTTCTATGGTGGAGCCAGAAGTGCTGCATGACCCTGGGGCAAGAATAGCCACCCACCTCCATTCTTGGCCCAAAGCTTCTCACCCAATTAAAAAAAGCAGGTTGCTTGCTCTGTAATTTAGAGTTATGCCCCTGCAATGTTTGGCCACTCCTCCAGCAAGATTCATTGTCTCAGGCCAGGAGCTAGCACTGACTTCACCTCCCTGGGGGCAGCATCCCAGGTCCATCCTGTTTGGCTGCCAGCACTTCCATGGAGCCCACTGGGCCCAGGTTTTTCCAGAGGCCTAGGCTGGTGGCACCCAACTGCGGGCCTGTGGGAACTTCTAGTCTGCAGTGAGTGAGCAGGTCCTGCATAGTGCCTGGGACCTCACCCCACCAGATTTATGAGTAGCCCTTGCAGATGCCCCCCCCCCCCCATATCTGGGGCAACAGGTGACAGAGGTAAAGTTACATCTGAGTTTTCTGGGACCGAGTTTCCAGGTGCCTTCACTAAGGTCAAGGCCCACTTGGTATGTGGATACCTAGGCAGTCATAAGCACAATGCTCCCACCAGGCCACCATTATTTTCCTCTGCCCCATGACAGCCAAATCCCGGTTGGGAAAGCCACCAACTCTCTCACACCAGCAGGCCAGGCCAGGCTCAGGTAGCAGGAGTCCCATGAAGATGAAGGCATAATGATGTCTGACAACCTCAAGGCTAGAGAACATAAGGTGTGAAAGGCCAGTGTTCTGCAGTTGCAGGCAGTGAGGCTGCAAGTCAGACTTCTCCATGGGTCTTAGTGACTAGGGAGAGGGTGAGACCAAGAGAAACCAGAGAGGAAATGTCAGGGTAAGGGGCTATTTGGCTGCAGGGGCAGTTAGGATCAGCAAATGAGGGTCTCTCCATAAACAGGCATCTCAAGGACATCCACCTCCCCACCCCACCAGGAGTAGATCAAGGATCCTGGCAAGGTAGCAGGAAGGAAACCCAACTCAGGGGCATTATAGCCAGAGGCACTTATGGGCAGGGGTGGGAACTTTGCCAGTGACAGGTCACCTGCCACATTGTCCCTGGTGAACATATGGAAAAGCTTACTTCTTTTCTGGAAGTGCAACCATTTCCTATGTGCCACTGTTGGCCTCTGAAGCCCACTTCTGCCAGTGACTAGCTGCCCAGCACCGATAACAGCATACAGATGATACTCACCAAGGGCACAAAATGGAGTCCATCCTAAAGGTCTGATGCCCTAGCCTGGGGAGTGGGGACATACCCAAAGCTCCTGGGAATCCAGTCCCACTTGGAGAAAGTGTCCTTAGCCACAATGGTGGTGATGCACTCTCTGATGGGGACCCTCGTGACTCCTGTGTCAAAGGTTACCTTGAGTGGGAAGTCCCCCAGCAATCTGTCTACAACATATAACGTGCCTACAGATGCACCACATATCTCCAGTGGTCTCTGCCCACCAGCCCCCCAGGTCTAAGTGTACACACAAACACACACAAAAAAGTAAACACAAACAAGTACACTTATACTAGCAGCTACCAGCAACACTTGAAGTCTGAGGAAGAGAGGATCAAGGACAGTGATTACATATGCCACCTTGCAGGCATATGCAAGGCAGAAACTCATTCCAATCTATAGGTGGCAAATGTTCTGTGACATGCTGCAAAGGGTGGAGAGCAGGAGGGATGATGACAGGGACCAGGAGGCCAAGGATCTGCTCCAGCCCAATGTAACCCTCCCAGCCACTGTCACCCGAGGCTCTCATTTGCAGGGTCTCAGTGAGGAAATTGCTGTGACCCCGAGCTTAACACACAGGATCAGTGCCAACCCACCCAGGAGTCCTGGAGTCCCCACCCTGGAGACCCTCACAGATGACACACCTCACCTGTAGCCTTATGAAACTTCAGCTCTAGCCCTAAAGTCAAGGGAAGCAACACTGTGCACTCAGGACTCTCAGCATACAAGATGCAGCATTCCTATGGTCAGCAGGGGCCCCTGATCAAGCAGCACCTGCACTTGGGTTGCAAAGAATGGGCACTGGTGTGGCAGAGCATGGGCTCACTCCCTAGCACTAACACAGACCTGGCACAGACCCTGCAGGCCAGGGTCTCCCCCCAGGCCCAGCTCAAGGCCTCTGTTACAGAGCTCACATCACCTACCTACAGATGAGGACGCCATAGCCCAAAGGGAAACAAAGTGAACTTAGGCCTCCTACCACCCGGGGAAAGCAGTCAGACAGTCCACTGGCACAGCATCCCCCAGACAAGGACTGATCACTGGGCAAGACATGTCACGGTCCACTATACCATCCTTTTCATTTTTCCATTTGCAACAAAATGTGTTTTAAAAACTCGCCATGCCAACCTGAAAAACTGGGTTGAAGGGAAGGGAGATGACGATTCCCTATAAAGTTACAGATACAAGGGAATGAGACTCAACTGGAGCAGAAAGTCCCACAAACAGAACTGGGCACTTCCTACTCCAGAGGCCTGGAAGTATTCTGCACACGGGCACTCAGAAGGCTGCTCATGAAAGTACCATCCAAGACTACAACCAAGAGAACAAAGAAATCCACCTTGGCCATTATTATGAGATACATTGTTCCCTCCAAAATCAACATGTAGAAGCCCTAACCCCCAAGCACCTCACAATGTCATTATATTTGGAAGTGGGCCTTTATTATTTTTAAAAAATATTTATTATTTATTTATGCATACAAAAACTGGGGTGTAGGCCAAAGATGCAGGGGGTGAGAGGATTCACCAGACAGAGAATGGGAGGCAGAACAGGCAGATCTACTGAAAAACACTGCTGAGGGGAGCAGCAGGTGAGACAAGAGAGGTCTGCTGCACCATGTGGGTTAGCTCCCTGGCCAGGGATGAACTCAGGCCACAGTGGCTCGTTAATAGCTTGAAAGAACTGAGACTTAACCCCTGTGCCACCAAAAAGGCCCAGGAGATGGGCCTTTAAAGGTCTATGGTGGGCCTTAGTCCAACATGACTGGTGTCTGTTTAAGATTAGGAAATGGACAGTTTAACCATGAGAGGACACAGTGAGAAAAACAATCATCTACAAGTCAGGCAGAAGCCTCAGAAGAAACCCCGCTATTTTAGACACCTTGATCTCTGACTTACAGCCTCTGGAACTAGGAGAGAATGCATTTCTGTTAATTCACACTACACTAACAAACTCACAGTCATCTTCCCAAATGTATCATCAATAGCCCCTCACATCCCACTTTGATGGCTGTATGGCTGAGTCTTGCAGGGAGGAGATGCTTGTTCTTCTCAACACTGAGTGTCCCACCCCAGGGGATAAGGAGACATTCTCATCATGTAGAACTCAGATGTGGCTTGGCACCTTCCTCTGGTCAGAGATGGAAGTAGAGTGCCACGTGGTCTTTTTCTGCCTCTGGTCATGGAGAAATATTTCTAGTGTAGTTTCTGTTGGCACAGGTACTTAAGAGACTGTCATGGGAGGAGATGCCCAGCTGATGCATGACAAATGTGTGGATTGGGCAGGAAATAAGTAGTGTTGACTCAAACTACTAAAGATTAGAGGTTCTTGTTACTGCAGCACAATCTGGTTCATCCTAACTGATATAGTAAACCAATATTTACTTTGCTCCTTATTGCTGGACCTTTGTGTCCTTTCTACTTTTGCTGTTAATCATGAAGTGACATCTATTCAGTGGTCAACAGGGCTCAAGTCATGCATGAGCATGATCTCATTCAACCCTCCCACTATCCCACTGAGAACAAGCCATTCTAATAGCTCAGAGATCAGGTAAGAAGGACCATCAGATTGCAAGTGGGGGAGGCCAGAAGTGTCCAAGCTGAGTTGAAGCCCACACTCAAATCCTTACACCACAGAAACAGCAATGATCACTGGTATGAAGGTAAATCAGTATCTGTGCATCTAGAAATGTCATCTGATTGCAGTATTTCAAACTCCCACCAATAGAATGAGAAGCTGTTTCTTCATACTTTCAACAATTCTGGGTATTTAAAATGATTAAAGTCCTGGGATCACAGGAAGAAGAAAAAAAATCACCCATATTCTCCTGTAGTACTTCTATGATATAATGTTGAGATTAATTCATTGGAGACTAGACTGGTATAGCAGTAGGTATCCAGTATTACTATTTTCCAGATGACTAGCTAACCTTTCACTGAATAATCCATTTTATTCAGTTAAGTTGAAACACCTTTAGCATTAACTAAAGTTTTATATTTATTATTTATTTGGCTCTATCTCAAATTTTTTTATTTTCTGTTCACCAGTCAACACCAGTTTACAACCATCTTCACTATTGGAGCTTTATAAAATGTTTCAGTGTAAGACCTTGCCCTCAATCCTTCTTGCTTTAGAATTTTCCTTATAAACAGTTAATTGAAAAACCCTCCTATAGTGCCCACTGTATCCTTCCTTTGAGAAATAAAATCTCTGGATATTTCCAAGGGAAGTGAGGGACATCTGGAAGGTGGGCATCCGGAGCACATGTACTACACTGTGCCAGACTATGCTGCTCCCAGGAACACCCTCCTTTTGTCAGCTTGTATGGCATGCTAGGAGCAGTGACAGTCTTATAGCCTGTGCAGGGCCTCCTTTCCTGGCCTCTATGTTCCTTCTCCCCACCTAGAAAGGGAAAGCAGCTATATCAAATCTGCCCTAGGCAGGGCACTACCGCCGCCTGGAGACAAAGCTGTCACTTTGCAACACTGCACTGTCTGTCTGGAAGGACAGGGAAGAGACCTTCTGTCCACTCCTCAATCCTACTTGCATGGGCACCCAAGAACAGCAACCTGTCAACACCAGAGAGGCCCTGCCCTCCTTTCCTTTGTGTTATTCTTAAGAGCCCAACACAATAAATAGGCTCCATTTCCCAAGATTAGGACACAGACATACAGAGGATTAAAAAACAGGTCATCTGATCTCTCCCCAGATCTCAGCCCTGTCTTGGCAGAGCTGGCCCTCAGGAAAGGTATGCCGAGCTATAACCAAAGCCAGTAGGAACTGTCTGTGAGGAAGGAAAGGTCTCACAAGATGATATCAGAAGAAAAGAGGGCAGTCCTGAGCTGAAGCAACTCACTAGATGGAGATAGGAAAGGCAGTCTTACAGGCCTGCAACAGTTGACCAGGCTATCAACCTCAAGAGCAGCTTAGGTTCTACTGACCGTCCTGCCAGCTGGAATGAGGGCCCTCCTTGATAAGGCTAACACCAGACCCACAGGTAGGCCATATCACAGCTGAATAGGGGGTGGGAAGGCAATCCATCCCAGGCCTGCAAAAGGAGGGCTCTGCCTTAGTGATAGTACAGGGGATGAGGGGTGGCAGTGCACCTGCACTGGGGCTAGGCCAGAACATTCACAAACTCCCATTTGATCAGAATCAAGACTGCAGTGATTTCTTCTGTCAGTTTGTTTTACTTTTGAAGTTAATATCAGCTTCCCACCTATTTCCAAGATTTACAACTATTTTTACCTGTATCTATGCCTTAAAATAATTCACGCATAAAACCATGTGAACCCAGAGCCTTTTTAAGCAACTGTTACTTATAATCCCAATAATGTCTATTTACCTAAGATTTTTTTTAACCAGATGTTTGCTTATTACTGTTTTTCCTAAAATAACTAGTTTTAGGATCTTATATTATAGTTATTACTCTTTCTTCCTACTTTCAAGGAAGGTGTTTCGTTTTCACAATTGTAAAACTGAAAAGGGATTGGAATACTTACCTAACTGCCCCTCTGGGAAGGTGCACTGTACCCATCCTGTGTAAAACTTGGCTTGAGGGAGCCTCTAAGCTCTGCTCTTAGAAAATCCATCCCTTTGCAGAACAGGTCTTTCTTCATTCCAATCCCCCAGCCCCTGGAGGCTCACAGCTCTGGTCTGCTGCCTGCTCCTCACCTCACCTTCGGCTTTCTTTACGAAGTCAGTTCTCAAGTCCACACTCCATGCCAAGCCTCTTGCTCCTCCTATCTATTAAGCCCTAACTCCTTCAACCAGGCCTTTCAGTCCTCTGTGTCACCACAGAAACAACATCTGAAATACTAATCTCAGGTGCTTGCAGCTGAGGTCTAGCCTCTGTTCCAGACAGAATGGGTACAGTGCTCATACTGACAGAACAAGGACTCTGCTTATTGGCAGTTACCACACCACAGGCTCAGGTCATGTATTCAACACACATTTAATAAGCACCAACTGTGTACCAAGGACACAAAGCTAAGGAGCAGCCCCTACACTAGAGGCTCACAGTCTACCTAGAAATATAAGTGAATTACAGTATTGGGGTTGAAGTGGTGAATCAGCAATGTGTGAGGTGGTGTAGGGACTGCTGAAAAGCAGAAAGTGGGAGGACAGCACAGTCAATGGCACTGAGACTTTTTTCATGACCACTTCTAAAGAAAACCAGTTATGACTAGAATGTTAATGGATAGAAGGCGGGGAGATGCCTGGAACAGAGTTGAGATTGGCAAGGGGGCTTGCATCTCACCTTCCTGAATCTAAGTTGTCCCAACAGACCAGAGCTGCCAGTAAACCCACAGGGAAGCATCCTTCTCTGTCAAGATACTACTCCACTTGTAATGAACAATGTGGCTACTTTCTCCACTCAGCCTTCCTTAAATTTCAGCCCAGAGGGCAGGGGTCACAGGAAGCAGAGTTGGGGAAAGGAGTGACAAGTAGCAATCAGATCCAAAGAGGGCTGGCATGGCAGACCCAGTCCAGTCCCAGCCAATGCTGAAGGAGGTTTGTTGTTTTTTGTGGGGAAGGAGTGCATTTACAAAGATAATACAAATATCTGAAGGGGATTATCTATGGAACTGTCCAACTGGTGGGAACAGGTCCAGGTGAGTTGGCACTCTGCTGCAAGGTGTGGGAATAGAGCTGACAGTCCAGTAGGAGGCAGTCCCTGGGCTGTAGGGAGAGTGTGAGGATGAGCGGCATTAGGCAGAGGTCAACATTCTGCAGTGGGGGGGTGGAGGTGGGAGGACCCACACACTTGTGTTCAGACAAGGTCAAGCCCAAATCAATGCACCTCCTCGCTGAGCGGAGGACAGTGGACAGGGCAACAACTAGTAGCACTATCATCCAGAGTCATCTGACAGTGTCACTCTGCTCTAACTGAAAGCTATGGGGGTCCTTGACTACACAGGCCACCTCATCATGAGACAGTGCTACACCTGCCTGGGACATGTTCAGCTTCCAGGGTGGCAGGGTGGACAGAAGGAGAAAATGGTGGCTCTTCTGGGGTTTCCAGAGTACCTAGCACCCCCTATAAATCACCTAAGGATGCCTCCTAGTCTCCCTCTGTCTCAGAAGTAACCCCCGTCTTTTGGGGTTCTAGACACCCTGGCAAGCTGGATGTGGTTTTAGAACAGCAAATTCTGAAAATGCAGGTATAGGTTTGGGAACCATCTCCCCTGGCTGGGAGGAGGTCTGCCCCATAGAATCAGGATTAGTGCTGCACACAGAACTGGACAAGGGAGGGGGCCCAGGGGCATCCTCCTTGATCAGCTGCTATTCAAGCACAGCATTTCTGGATGCAGAGTTGGTAGTAGAAACAGTGGGGGTGCCCAGAGCAGATGGGACAGGCCTGGGAGGAGCACTCATGTTGAGGATCAGAGCTTCTGAGAACCTAGCTACGTAATGCCTCACCACAGATGGCTGTGAGGCTATTGGTGGCTGACTTGAGGCTGGGGGCAGGGCACTACACCACAACAATTGCACTGAACTTGAGATCAGTGCAACTTCCTTGAGATCCTTGCAGGAGAGCTCACAATCATCTGGCAGGGTTAGGTCCCCACTGAGGCAGGAGGCTGCCCAAGGCTGAGCTCAGCTGGTCAGGCACTGGAGGATCTTGCAGACATGGCTGAAGTTGTCCTGGTAATGCTCAAAGTGGAAGGACACATAATCACCTAGCTGGACCAAAAAGTGATCTGGCAGCCATGGGGAGGCACCAAAGGTGGCTGGGTCCAAATCTGGCACCCACTGAAAGTTCACCTAGAGGGGCAGGGGCTGGGTATGTGCAGCCAGGGGGACTCCTTCCTGTGGGCTTACCGCTGGGAGGAATACTTGCTGTGCTCTTCTGCTCCACGATCATGCGCATGCACACAGGGTCCCCACTGCAGGGCTGCTCAGTTCAGGGATCTACTAGGGGGATATATACAACCCTAGGAGAACCCCAGTCCATCTGTTGCCAAGGGTGCTCACTGTTGTAATTGGCTGAGGACCAGATGGGATTTCGAGGACCCTGTTGACAAAGCAGGCCACATGCCATGCTGGGAGCAGAAGGTTACAATGGCAGCAACTATGAGAATTCTGGAAAAGGGGAAGGGAGGAAGAGATGGGGGAGGAGGTAAAGAAGTGGTACACAGGATACAACAGAACAGAGGTGGGCTGAAGAGGAAGTGGCAAACCCAGGTGTTCCAGGCAAGTGCTGAGGGTCATGGGAGCTGATAGCTGTGGTCTCAGAAGAGCTGATGGGATTGTCAGAGGCAGGCCACCATCCGAGGCAATCTGTCCAAAAACAAGGCAGGGAAGAGCTAGAACTAGGCCCAATCATCACCACCGGGCTGCAGAAGACAATAAGCAGAAAAACCCTGGCACTCAATTACGCATTCTGACAAAAAGGTGAGGGTGGTCCAAGAGGTCAAAAAGGCAGGGAAATGCCACCTGTGATGTTTTGAAAGCAAGGTGTGGTGGCATATGCTATCAGTCCCAGGAGAAGGAAAGGAGGCCAAATTGAAACACCCTGAGTTTCCTTAGATGGCCTGGTTCCCAGGGAGTTTCAGGACTATCACAGAAGTCACCTTTTACTGAGTGCTCCATTCGCACATCATCTCAGATGAAGATTGCAGTTACATACCAGTCAGTAAGCAGCGAGAGGCAGGTAAACCTGCCTCGAGAGACCACACACTTAACCATTATGCATCATCATGCCAGTTAGGAATTACATTTCACAGTCCACTGAGAAGGAATCACTCCTAATCACTCCAAACACTGTAACCATTAAGTACACAGAACACATCATGAGACTTTTTTATATCACAGCACCACGCATATGGTAGGCTATGTATGCCCAACAGAAGTCTTGACCCTACAGCCTTCCCTCCAGACCCACTTTCCAGACTCACCTCATTAGTATAGTCTGCAAGTAAAGTCACTCCTGTCCTGAGTACCATCCTCACCCTGCATCTGCATCCCTGTCAAGAGTTCAGCATCCAATCCCCCAAATTTAATCGCACTTGCTATCTTTTTTACCCTTCCCAGAGTCACTCCTGTGAAAGGCCTAGACAGCAGTGGTCACCAATCCTGAACAGCCCAAAATATCTTGAATTGGAGAAGGAAGCCTCCCCAATTCAGCATCAACAGGTACAGTTCTCTTCCAAGGCAAGAAGCCATCTGCCAAGTTCTCACACTGCACAGTCTGGCTACTGCCCTCCATAGTTTCTCTGTAAAGGGCCACACAAGGCCACCACAAACTCCTCTCTGCTTCACTACATATGTAATTTTTCTAATGACCATGCCACACACACTCCAATGTGCAGCAGCTCGTACCTAGGGACAGAACAGCATGCATATAAACTCATAAGCAGTTTCCTAGGTGTTAATCTACCCCTGCCAGATTTCCTCCAGGAAGCACAGTTTTGTTGGTGTTTCTTCCAACAGCATCTCCCAGAGTGCCATGCAACACTGGAGGTAGGTACTACCAGGTACCCACTTCTACCATCCGAGCATTCTGGAATCTCTCAGGTATAACGCCCACAGGGGATAGGAGTTGGGAGGGTGTCTTCCACCTGGAAGTCCTTCCTTCCCATCCTAACACAAGAATATGCTAGTGTCTGTCAGCAGCAGTAGCCCAAGTGGTCAGCACATGAATGCAGTCCAGTTAGCTCCTCAACAAGCTTTGAAAAGGCAATGACCACATACCACCAATCTGAGGTTAAGTGTCAGATTGCCAGCAAAGACCACATACCACCCAGAAGCCACGTCCAGATTTCTACCCTTGCTTTTTCCCAGTCCTGACCTCCTACCCCCTCTCAAAATTCAAGCTGTCACACTGCTACCTCATGGGCATTCTTGTGCAGTCTCCTGCAACTTCAGGAACAGGGTTCCCCTGCGCCACCAGTTAGCGTTGCTTAAGAATGTTACCACTTCGAAAACTTTATCCCTCCCAGATATATCGATCTGTTCATCTCGCTCCCTTCTCTTCCCCTCCCGCCTGGCCCTGAGAAATTTGGACCCTTCTCCTGGACTGGGCAGCGTTCCTCTGAACGAAGGGTGGCGCATATGCACTTATTTTCGCAAAGCCAAAAGGCGGCTCTTAGACCGCTGGACCGTGCTCTGTTCTGAGCTGACCCAGCGGCCTTGGGAGTAGAACGCACTTCAAAGCTTCACATCAAGTTGAGGGCACACCACTGCACAACCCTCTCGCAACTACCTGGGAAACGGGGAATGTGAGCTCTAAGCTCCCCCCAAGCACCCAACAAGAAGCCAACCTACCTGAGGTTAGGCCAGGCGGCAGCGAAAAGGGTCCGCGGATCCGCGACCAGAGACCTCCCTCCGAGAGCGAGAAAGTCCAAGGGCACCTAGAACAAGATCGGCGGCAGTGAGCGGGCAGGGTGTTGGCGCGACCTCCAGTGAAAAGCGGAAATCGCTTGAAACTGACTACAGGCGCCCCGAGCCCCGGCGCGGACAGACACTGAGACGCGCCGGACAGAAGGGGGGCGGGGGCCCGCCCCCGGGCTCGGGGCGTCGGGGAGTTGGGAAGGAACGGGGAGAGCTGAAGTGGCGGCGTCCGCCCCCAGGTCGCCTGGGTCACCCTGCTTCACGGACCCCTCAGCCGAAGGCGACGATACTGGCACCGAGAAGCGCGGCACTAGCAGCCCGACAGCGACGCGCAGCCGCCTTCCCTACGCGCGCACTGCCCGCCCGAGCGCCCACGCCGGCTTCCCAGCGGCGTCACGCCTGCGCCGGAGGCGCGGGACCACCAGCGCGCAGGCGCCGCGAGCCCGGCCGCCGGGCCCCGAGGCGCAGAGGCTGTCGGGATCGCGCTCATTTCCCCGCCCCTTCCTGCCACCGCGCCCCGCCCCGCGCAGCCGAGCGCAGGGAGCCGACGGGAGGCGGCGGGCGCGGGCCGAGCCGGGCGGGCGCGGCGGGCGCGGCGCCTGGGAAATGAATACCGGCGAGGGGCCCGCGCCGCCCACCTGGACCACTAGAGATGGTGGGGTGGTGCCACGGCATCCGCGGCTGCAGAGTCGGCTGCTGTGCACCTGGGGACTGCTGAGCGTCAGAAGGGAAGCTGCTGGCCCACGGCGTCAGGGAGGAGTTGAGCTGGGGGGCTTCAGTGCCCCCCTGAGAAGTATCTCTTCACCACCTAAAACCTGGAGGCTGGCTCTACATACCCGCTCCCAGATATGAGAAAGAAAGGGGCAAGGACCCTCCACCTGCGTACCTAAGGGACTGGCAGGCGGGGTCCGTGGGTTTTCTCGTTGTGGGTGGGTTTGTGTTGCCCTCGCCCGGTCCAGGCTGGGCCCAGAGAGGACAATGAGGGCAGGCTGCCAAGACCGAGCCTGCCGCCCAGGGTGGCGTGCCCAGTCAGCACCCAGACTTTGGAAAAGCAAGTGGAGGATGAGGTTGGATGCTCCTGTGTGCACCACCCCCATGCCTCCTCCCTGCGCCCTTGCAAGAGGTGGGAGCAGGTGCCGGCTTCCCAACCCAAGGACTTACCATGAGCAAAGGACCTGGATGCAGGCCAGGAGTCACAGGGGCCATAGGCAGCCGAATTATTGGAAAATCATGTTTCTCAAGGCGAACACACATTTAAACGCACCAGCTCCTTTCCTTCCCAGGTCTAGTGTTGACTTTCATGAAAAGATCTCTGAAATGTTATCTACATTTACACCCAAACTCACTCTCTTTGATCTTTGAAACAGAATCAAAGATCATATTGTACCTTCAATGGCTCTGTGGGGCTTTCAACTGCCTCCACCAAAAATAATAAAAGTGGCACCCTGCCAGGAAACACCTCCTTGATGTGAGAATGACACTTGTATTTTTTCAGTTGTATCTTTCCTAATTGACCTGATAATTTAAACTTCCTGCCTCAAAGAAGAGGGGGAGTTCCCAGCAATTTGACTTACCTCAAGTGAGCTAGACAGCTCAGTCCAACGAGGTGCTGGTCAGCAGAGTGAGCAGCTGCAGGCTTTGTGCAAAACAGCCAAGCCTGACCCAGGCTATCAGTAAAGGGGTTTTTTGGGGGTTTGTTTTTTTTTAATCCAAGTTTTTTGTTTTTTGTTTTTTTACTTTTAGGTCATCTTCTAAGTATATTTTCGTGGGTGGTAAAATACAAATTAACAAAATATCATTTTAACCATTTTTAAGGGTACATTACAGTGACATTAATATGGTTGTGCAACCTTCATACTATCCAGCTCCAGAACTTTTTCATCACCCCCGACAGAATCTCTGTATCCAGAAAACACCAACTCATCACCACCTCTTCCCCCAGCCACTGGTAACCTCTATTTTGTGTATATTAATTTATCTATTGTACCTCATATAAGTGCAATACTACAACATTTGTCCTTTTGTATCTTATTTCACTGAGGATAATATTTCAAAGGTCTATCCTTGTAGTATCTATAGAATTTTCTTTTTTAAGACTAAATAATACTCCATTATGTGTATATATCATGTTTGGTTTATTCACTCATCTGTTGATGGACACTTGGTTTGCTTTCAATTTTTTGGAATCAGTACCAGATTGTGATTAATGCTGCTATGAACATGGGTATACAATTATGTTTGTTTTTTTTTTTCTATTGTGGTAAAGTATACATAAAAGTTACCACATACCAAGTATACCTCAAAATGCTATTTTAAACTTTAATAAACTAATTGAGATGCAACTTAGTAGAGAACAGGAGAAAATAAAGTGGCTTTCTGTTAAAAAAGCAACAACAGGGGCCTCCCTGGTGGCGCAGCGGTTGAGCGCTGGGGTTGCGAAGCTGCCCGCAGCCTCTGCGGCGCGGTTTGATCCCCGGCTGCTCCCCGGCCACCTGAGGAGGGTCCCACATGGCGCGCAGACCTCTCCTGCCGCCCGCTGCTCCCCTCAGCAGTGTGCTTCGGTCCTCCTGCCTGCTCTGCTCCCCGCTCTGGCTCTGGTGAATTCTCTCACCCTCCCGCGCTTCTGGCTGTGCCCAGTGCTTGTATAAATAAATAAATCTTTAAAAAAATAATAAAAAATAAAAGCAACAACAACAACAACCCACACACATACAACAACTATCCTTTAGTTGTTGGGCATAATGTTCTACAAATGTCGGTTAGATTTAGGAAGTTCATAATTCTCCACTCTTCTGAAACATTTCTAGTTGTGTTAAAGACTGAGAGGTGTTCAAATCTCTAATTATAATAGATTTGTCCATTTCTCATTTTAATTTTGCAAGTCTAT